CTGTCCACCTGGGGTTAGAGTGACGTCCACAGGTCGAATGCTTCATCCTGTAAGACTGCTCCCGCTCAGGAGCCAGTCACGAGCCCTGGGTGGCGACCTGTGTTTCTGACCAACCGGCTGCAAATCAGGGTTCCCACCTCCTCCTCCTCCTTGGGTTCAATTATTTGCTAGGACAGTTCAGAGAACTCGGGGAAATGCTAACAGGTACTGGGCTACTATCGGGGATACTGCAAAGGATACGGGCTAACAGGCAGATGGCAGAGACGAGTAGGGCAAGGTGTGTGTGGAGGACGCAGGGCTCCCAGGCCCTCTCCGGGAGCCCTGCCTGCCAGCATCTCCACAGGGTCGGCCATCAGAAGCTCCCCAAGGAAGCCAGGTCCTGCTTGATCTGTCACTGACCATCGATGATCAGCTCAACTGTCAGCCCCTGCCCCTGGGACTGGGGGCTTGGGGCTGAAAGTTCCCACCCTCTAATCATGCCTCAGTCTATCTGCCCCTATCCTGAAGCTGTCTAGGGGTCCCCAGCCACCAACCATCTCATTAGCATAAAGAAACCCATCTCACTCTGAGGATGTCAAGGGTTTTAGGAGCCCTGAGCCAGGCAGGAACCCGGGACAGAGACCAAATATAAACTTCTTACTCTATCACGATATCACACTCCCATTTCCTAGATGGGGCAAGTGAGGCCTGAGAAAGTTCACCTACCAAGAGTCCTCTACCAAGCCCCATGTGGCAGGGATGGGACCCCAGTCAGACACGTACTCTGAAGGGGTTCTTGGACTCCAGCCTCCCAGAGCTATTTTTCATCTGGGAGAGGGTGGGGTTTGGGGCCAGACGTGTTTGTCCTGGGCTGGAAGCCAGTTCACAGCCCCTGGAGAACAGAGCAGCTCTGTTTAACGAGGGCAGACTGTGCCTTGACCCCAGCCAGCTGTCCCGACTGGGTCTACAGCGGGTAACTCGCGGGCAAGGGGGGTGGGGGGGGGGGGGGGGGGGGGGGGGTGGGCGCCTAGCTCAGAGGAGAGCTCAGCGCTGATCAGAAAGAGGTGTGGGCCTCAGGTTCCCCCTCTCAGCCCCTTTCCTGCCTGTGTGACCTCCGGCCAGTCACACCTCCCTCCAGGCTCTAGTCTTCTCAGCTGTAAAGTGGGAATGACCCAGAGAAGGACTCCACGCCCCTCGGAGTGGAGGGAAACATCAAATGAGGGAACAGATGGGTAGAAAGGTACTTCATAAACTGTAGAGTGCCTAGACTTCTGTCTGGTTCATCCCACCTCTGTCCCACGTCACGGCCCAGCAGACTTTCAAGCCTTTGCTCCTTCACAAGGCCATCCCCTCCCCTGGAAAGGAAAGTGGCCTGGGGTGGGGCTCAGGGGTCCAGATCTTACCACCCTGACCCAGCAGCTTCACAAACCCATCAGACAGAAGAGGAAAACCGAGGACTGCCATCTCCTCTGAGGCTGTTAAGCCTGGGTTCAAGGGAGGGCTCTCTGTTCCCAAGATGAGAGTGACCCCTAGCCATCTGAGACTTAGACCATGGCGGGGACTGACCACCAGGGACAGGGAGCAGCCTCCTGGGGCCTGGAGGGTAGAAGTGGCCCTGAGATCCCTGGCTCCCAGGCTGCCCGCTGCTTGCCGACCCCCCAGACTTGATAAAGGCTTCCCATCCCAGGGCATTTCAGGCATGTCTCCAGCAGACTTGGGGTCCCTCCTCTTCCCATCAGACGGGCTGCGAACTTTGCTGTAAAGTCCCCTGGGAGGACACTGTGGCCTCCGTTTCTGCAAAGCAGCCTCTCGGGAGCTGAGGTTCTGCTGACTCAGAGCCGCCTGGTCAATCCTGGGGGAATTTCCCATGGGTGGGGACCTGTCTGCTGTGTCCCCCAGTGAGAAGGTTTGAACCAAAGCTGATAAATTAGGCCCCTTTGACCTTGGAGAGACACTGGGGACTCAGGAAATGAACTCACGTGATTCAAGGAGGGAAACACTCCCTGGGAATCAGTAGAGGCCTTTAGTGGGGCCTCGGGAGAGACTTCCTCCTTGAGTTTCCAGGTAATGGAAGCAGAGGCTGTGGGGCTGGTGCCAAAGGGGAACACTAACACCCTCCAATGAGCAGGGGTTGTATCTGGGCATCTTTCTAAGGGAGTTCTGGATGCTAACTTGATCAAGTCTCCGAGGCCTTATTGTGCTCATTTTACAGCCGAGGAAGCCAAGGCTCAGAGAGTGTCTTGGGATGGAAACCCTTGATCAAGTCTGAGGGGTTGGCAGGCAGGGGGCATCCTGGGAGCCAGGGGTCTCAGGGCCACTTCTACCCTGTTGCTGGTGGCCCTAGGAGGTTGCTCCCTTTCCCTGGTGGTCAGTCCCCGCCATGATCTAAGTCTCAGATGGTTAAGGGTCACTCTCACCACCTGACCAAGGACACACAGCATGTGAGTGGTAGAGCCTCAGTGAGAAATTGGCCAGTCCAGAGCTCTGTCACTAACACTGTGCAACACTGCCTCATGTGCAACAGAAGGCCTGGACGCAAGTGCTGCCCAGAGGACTAAGCCCAGCCCTCCCAGGGCTCCTGGGAATGGGGCATTGGCTAGGCATGGTAGGATGGCAGAGGGGGCAAATCCATGACCACTGAGACCCAGCAATCAGCCTGGGGGTGGTCCAGGGCTTCAGTGTCTTCAGCTCTGTCCCTCCCTGTGACATGGGCAAGACACCTCCAAGCCACTCTGAATCTCAGTTTCCCCCTCAGGAAATGGTGAAATGAGTACCAGCTTCACAGAACTGTTGCAAAACATTCCACAAGCCCTGGAAATCTTTTTAAAGAGCTTAGCATAAAGCTAGGGCTATTATTATTATTATTCATTATTTTAAAACATTGTTACTCATTCACATTTCATTTCTGCATCCCATTCTCCCCCAGGAACTGCTGCGAGTAGAAAGGTTTTGGGGGGATAGTTCTTTTTGGAGATGGGGCGGGGGATGAACAAGGTGAACTTGAGGACCCCTGTAGCCCTCCTCAGCTCTAGCAGCAGCTGCGGTCTCTCAGAAGTCAGTTTCCATCCCTGCACCCCAGGTTCCCTTGCTCCCTGCCCGTGGTCCCTGCTGGCTGGATGCTGTTGCTATGGCAACGGTGTTTTAAGCATCTTGGACTCCCCCTCTGAGGCATCAGGCATGGATGGGCTAATCGAATGCCTCATGCATCCTCGGGCCGTTCTGGATGCAACGTGAGGGAATGGGATGCAAGAATCAGAGCTGGCTGGGGGTGGGGGCTGGGCCTGAGTGCCCCCCCCAGCCCACCTGCTACAGTTAAACTGAATACCCTAGCGTTTGTGTGTTCCAGCCCCCTCCCCAGTACAACCAGGTTGAGAGGAGGGACCTTTAAGAAGTGACCAGATTACAAGGGCTCTGTCCTCCTGGAGGGATTAGGGTCCAAGTGGCCTCCTTACAGCAGAGGGGTGAGTTCAGCCCCTTCCCTTACGCTGGTATGCTCTCACTGGGTGACGTCCTCTGCCATGGAGGGGGCCCCTCCGTCTTGGACCTCGCAGTCTCCAGAACGATAGCAAATAAACTTCTATTGTTTATGAATCTCCGTCCCGCGGTCCTCTCTGATAGCAGCACAGCACAGTCTAAGCTCCTCCACGCCTCACTGAGTGACCCGGGAGTCAGAGGGGCAGACTGCAGCCACCACTCCAGCCACCCCTGGCCCTGAGAGTCTGATTTTAGTTGCTGGGGGCGGTATCTCCTAGGAAACCGCCTTTTGATCACTTCCACTCACAGTTCTGAAGCAGGCAGGCTCCAGACCACACCTGGAGAATCTTGAGTCTAATAGAAGATTCCTGAAGCCACCTGGGGCCTTCTGTGTGTGATTCTCTTTGCTGAGAGCCCCCCTGCTCCAGGCTACCTCTCCCCACTTCCACAGTCTCACTGGGGGAGGATGTGTGCTCCCACCCTCTTCCTGGGGTCAGGAAAATCCAGTTAGGCTGCCAGGAGGCCATTCTGATAACGCACTCGACTCGGAGAGGAGGGGAACACCCTCTGCCTAGTGATGCTCAGAGGAGGCACTAGGGGGCGCTACTCTGGCCCTGGGAAGGCTGTGCCACCTGCCACAGGCTCTACCTTGGATCAGATAAACCTCTTCCCCTGACACCCCCACCTGGTGGCTGGGTGAGGATGGTGCTCCCTTCTCTCCCCCAACCACAACGCCCATTCGCCCTGTCCCCCTCCCACAGCACCTAATGCCACCAGGCAGGAGAGACTGTGCAGAAAGAGGCGTAAAGCAGGAGAAGGTGAGTCTGTGACTTGGTGGGACGGAGATCTATCTAGAGGACTGAAGCGAGTGTTCTCTCTGGAATGCAAGGACCGGGTTCTGGGGGGTTCCTTGAATTTGAGCAGGTGGCCCAGCCCCTCAGGGGAGCAGGAGATGGAGTGGGAAGCAGCTCTTCCCTTGCGGGCACATGAAGCCAGCATGGCCTGCAGTCCACCCGTGCCAGTGCCTGGGAGTCGAGGGACACATACCCACCCCCTGTCCTCTAGGAGGTGGCTCTGGGGCAGGTTAGGTGTTCCACGCTGTCTTCCAGAGGTCCCCAGCAGCACTGAACTCCGGTAGCCCCCCTGGGGATTTGCTTGACTATACACCTTTGTGGACCTCCCTATTCTCCCCCAGCGGTGCCTGGGATCACTCACACACCCCAGTTCTTGTCTCAGGGAGACCCAGACAACAGGCCACTAGGGTTCTCCCCACAGGGAAGGCGTGTGCGGGTCCGTGATCTCCAGGTGGCCATTTGAGCTCCTACCCCTGAGGCCTTGGGAGGGTCTCGACCAACAGGGCCTTCCCGCTGACAGCAAGAGTCTGGGCCAATCGGTGCTTTATTGGGTCTGGACCGGGCTCCGGGGCTCGCTGTGCCGCACACGTGTTTGCACCAGGACTTCCTGGGTGCTGGGAGCAGGACCGCGTCCTCATCTTCCCGCTACAGGCAATGCGGGAAATCAGTGCTCCACCGCACAACTGGATGGGGTTCACCAGGGCTCCCCGCTCCTCCTCTCCCCGGGCCTCCCCCCGCCACCCCGAGAGCCTGGTGATTGACGGGGGTTCCCAGCTAGAGAGACGCCGGCGGGCTTGTCTGGGGTGAGTCCTCCAGGGATGTCTGTGAGTCTGTCCCCTCTGAGGAAAAGCTGCCTCCAGTGGGGCAGGGGACCCGGCTCTGCCTGGGGGACCGCTGCCAGGAGAAGAGGGTGGCCAGAAAACTCTCCGGGGCCGGCTCCGGGAGCTCGTGGGGGCCTTTGTCCTCGACGGCCTCTACAGCTCGGCCAGCCTCCTGGGGTGGAGGACCTGGCTGGGAACTTCTAGGCTGCTTCCCTCTGGTAACCCGAGGGGGCCAGGACGACTTGGGCAAGTGCTGTACCCCCAGAGAGTCGTGTAGGGGCAGGTCCCCCCTCCCCTTGGAAGCGACTTCGCCATTCAGACCGGGGCCCTTGGTAGCTGTCCCTCTGAGCTCTGGGTGTGACAGGCAGGCAGCGGGAGCCCCTGGGCACAGGCAGGGGACCAGCGCCTTCTTCAGGAGGCCCTGGATCTCCTTGTGCCTTGCCTGGGCCTCTTCCCACGGGCCCTGGCCCAGGCCTGCCTGGCTCAGGGAGGCCACCTGCAGCCCCATGGCCGTGAGCCTCTCCGCCGAGAACTCGGATGCCAGTCGCTGTAGGTAGCGTTGGAGGCGGCGCTGGTCCGCAGGGCTGGCCCTCTGGGCCTTGCCCAGCCTGAGCTGGGTCACCAGGTCCTGACAGTCCATGTGGAACCAGGTCATCTGCGGGCAAGGGAGGGGTGGAGACCGCATGAGGACATGAGGGCGTGCCTCTCTGCGCCGGGGGCTCTAGGCTGAGTGTTGCTGGATTGGATTAATCAGTCCAGCGAATGCTAGGGCTTGCCCAGCTTGGAGGCCATTTTCCCCATGGACGATCACGACAATGGTTTCCCTTCCCCCTTTTCTCCCGAGCTATGCCCACTGCTACCTGGAAGCAGCCTCTAGTGCCCCTGGGTTCTTCAGACACCTTTTTATTTTGGTACCAGTGATTGCTACTGGTGCTTAGCCACTGAGCTACGGCCCCAGCCCTTTAAATTTTTATGTATGTACTTGTTTATTTTTTGAGACAGGGTCTCACTAAGTTGCTTAGGGTCTAAGTTGCTGAGGCTGGCCTCGAACTTGCAATCCTCCTGCCTCAGCCTCCTGAGTCACTGGGATTACAGGCGTGCGCCACCACCCCTGGCTCCTCAGCCACCCTCTAATAGACCTATGGGGCCAGCAGCACTGACTTCTCTTTAGGGCTCATTTTCTCCTGTAAAGTGGGAGCTGTGCCAGACAGCCATGAAGTCTTTTAAGAGCTGAAGATGTGGCTCCTCAGGGTGGATGGACTCCTGCAGGTGGTGCTGAGGGAGGAGTCTGGCTACTGTGTTTGAGTGCCGACTGTTTGCCAGGCTCTCTGGGTCTCTTGGAGGATCACACTGAATTGGACCAGCAACCCATTTTACAGAGAGGGAAACTGAGGCCCTCGAGCAGTGAAATGACTTGCCCTGAGTCTCAGAGCCAGCAGGGAGGAGCTGGGGTTCCACCTCCCATCCTCCTGCCTCCTAGAGCGTCCTCCAAGCAGCTCGCTGGGCAGAAACAGACTGACCGAGCCTGGGTGGATGGTCAGGCCCCAGGGGCCTCCCTCCAGCTGGGTGCCTGCCCCCCATAGTTCTTCTGCCTGGCCTGGATTCCGCCACAAAATGTCTGCAGGCTGCAAAGGAGCCTCCGTCCCCAGCAGCTCATGAGGAACCTAATCTCTCTCTCCATTAACTCGGAGCCGTCAGCGAGCCCCCGGGCTGCAGGGCCGGGAGGCGTTTCTCCACTGAGACCATCTTTCCCCAGATTAAGGGAACTTGTCTTCAGATAAATGGCTTCATTTTTGTGGCAGCCCATGGAGCTTATGGTCAGGAAAGGGCTGCATAAATCTCCCTTAGCGCCACCACCATGTTATTACCACTCAGTGCCAAAGATGCCCCACCTGGGGTCCAGCATGGCACCGGGCTGTCCTGTCTGTCTGTCTGGGTCTCGACATTCCCAGCCAACCTGGACAGACATGGACAGGGATCCAGAGACCATCTTGCCTGATCCCTTGCTGCACAGATGAAAATTCAGACCAGAGAGGGGCAGCGCCTGGCCAAGAACACACAGTGAGAATCGTCGGAGGCAGGACTCCAATTTTGGCCTGCCACCACCCGGGATCCAGTTCCTAGCCTGCCACAAGCCGGTTTCTCAGTCTTCCCCAGTCCGCCCTCCTCTCTGGCCTCCTCACTCATCTGCCTCCGCACCAGTGGGCTGCTTGGACCTGGTCCCAAAGAGAGCTCACCGCCCAGGGGAGCTGTGAGTGGTGGTGAGCGAGTGGTGAGAAGCAGGATTGTTTCCACAGTGAGTCCTTGAGGACATAAAGCAGGTGGCAGGAGAGAAAGGTGTCTGGTTGTGGGATGTCAGGACAGGCCTCAGAAAGAAGCGCCCATGGGTGCTGAGAGAGGAAGAACCAAGAGGAGCCAAGTCCCAGGAAGAGGTTTCCAGCCACCAAGATAGCACGTGCAAAGGCCCAGGAGCCGGAGCAAGTTTGGTTGATCCAGGGGAGGCCCCTGGGCTGAAATCAGTGAGCAAGGATAGAAGCTTCCAGATGCCGGTGGCATTTAGGGCACGACTCCTAATGATGATGACAATCATGGTGCTAATAATGGTTCCAGACCCGAGCAGTCCTGTGCAGGGGTTACTTAGGTTTAATCTCATTCTTTCAGTACCCAGCAAGGCGGGCACTAGGGCCAGAGGGTCTGGGTTTGAATCTCAGCTCTGCCCCTCTCCCAGCTGTGTGGCCCTGGGTGGGTTACTCCATCTGTCTGGTTCGTCATAGGTAAAATGGGTGTAATGCTAGTATTGGGTCCGTGTGACAATAAAACAAGATGTGAAACGACTAGTACAGAGCCTGACCTATACAGGCTACATAAGCATCAACCACCACTACCACCATCATCATCACCACCACCATCATCACCACCATCATCACTACCACCTCCATCATCATCACCACCACCATCATCATCAGGGCGTTGAGACTCAGGGCAGCCAGACTGCCATTGCGGTGACAAGGAACACATGTGTCCCTGACTCTGAGTCCCAGATTCTGCCTCTCCAGCCCCTGGGCAGCGAGGGAGGGGATCCCTTCACTGCCCCTTGTCCTCTGCTGCCCCAAGGAGACAGAGGGGGGCCTGTCCTCCCGGCATGAGCTCACACTGCCCTCTGAGGCATCCTGTGTGCTGGCCGGGTCAGCCTGACTGCGAGGCGGAGGGGTCAGGCTCTTCCCACACTGTCCCTAGTGACAAGTCCGCTGACCAGGGGCCAGCCTTGTGGGTCCCTGTCCTAGCTCTCCCAGGCTGCTGCCTGCTGCCTGTAGGCCTTGATCTCCTGCTCAGAAACATGAGAGGTTTGGCTACGTGGAGTTAGGAGGGTCCTCAAGTCAAACCCTGCTTGACACCGGGATTCCGGGTGGCCTTGGGCAGGTCACGTCCCTCTCTGGGCCTCGGTGTTCCTGTCTGTAAGATGGGTACAGCGCTGGCACCCCAGCTGGGGTGGGGACTAAGGGAGGTGTGGGAGGGGCTCACAGAGGGGTCTCCTAAGGACCTCGCCACCCCCTCCGCCATCGCCACGTCTGCCTGTGTCAGGGACTCCAATGCCACTGTCTCTTCTTCTTGGAGGAGGACACTGGGCATGTCAGCAGCTGTCCAAATCCCAGCTCCTCCTCTGCCCGGGGCTCTGTCCCCTTCCCAGGACGATGGGAGGGAATCATGCCCAGAGCCTATTGCCAAGCCTAAGCCACCCTGTTCCGCCACCCGCCCAATCCCAAGGACAGGGGACACGGGCCTAGGCAGGGGCCACGGGCTCACCTTCTTGCAGAAGCGGTGCAGGTGAAGCAAGGTCTCGAGGTCCGTGCGCTGCCTCTCGGCCGCCATGTAGAAGTGGGTCAGCTTTGCCTGGAAGGCCCGCTGGGTGTGGGCAAAGGCCACCAGCTCTGGGGACTCTGTCCCTCCAGCCTCACCAGCTGCTCCGGCCGCCGCTCCCAGCTGGGCTGCCTGCTTGGACAGCTCCAGGCCTCGGCGGTACTGCGCCTGGGCAGGGAGACGGGATGTCCCCTGGGTTCCCACGTGGGGGCCTCCCCAGAAGCCAGTCGCCTCCCACTGCCCACAGCTGAGCCTGAGGCTGCTGAGCCTCGGTTTCCCATCGGTGGGGGGGCGATGGCACCCGGGACCGCAGGGCCTGGCTCCTGGGGCGGAACAGGAGGAGCAGGGAGGACGCTGGACAGCCCCAGGTCTTAGCTTTGGCAGTTCAGTTCACTTCCTTCTGGAAAGTTCTCTGACCTCACACCCGGGTCAGAAGTGCCCTCATGCCCCCAGTGTCCCCAGTTCTCCCTGTTGGCTCCCCTGCCTGTCTCCCAGCCCCATCCGTCCTCCACGGGCTTGAGAGCTCCCTGCTGGGACAGGCCCCGGGCTCAGCTTGTCAACGGCACAGCTTGTTGGCCCTGCTCTCTGAGGCCGACAGCAGGTCAGGGCAAGACCCCGGGATCTGTATCTTAAGACCCCCTGGGATTCTAAGTATTCTTTGGGTGTGGTGGTCTGGGAGGGCCTCCCGGAGGAGGTGGCATCCAAGCTGACCCTTTGGGGGCTTGGATGTCACCTCTGTGAGTTTTCTTGCACTGTCCTGCCTCCACCTCTTGGCCCCACCAGGGCCACCCCCTCTAAGGCCCTATCCGCCCACGCCCGTCCTGCTCCGGATTCTCCCAACGCACTGCAGCCTGAAGGAAGAAGTCCTCAAACTCCGCGTGGGCCCTCTCCACCGTCTGCAGGCCTCCGTCCTTAGGGGCAAGCGCTTGCAGGCACTGGCTGCCTTCCTGCTCCATCCAGTTGCTGACCTGGGGCAAGGACACAGGTTTGGACTTGAGGGGCTGCTAGGGAGACATCCCTCTGCCGGCTGCCTGGTTCCCTGGGAGGCCAAGGTCCTCCTGCACTGTCACCAGCCTGGTCTCAGCCCTCCTGATTCTGGGCAGGAGCCTGGGGGAGGCAGGGCATGAGGCCATGTTCTTCAAACATCTGAAGGGGACAGGACCCCCAAGCAGGGCCCTGGTGGGGAACTGGCCTGGCCAGCACCCTGCACATAGTAGGCCCTCAGTGCACACGGGGTGGGGATGACGTCACAGGGTGGCGAGTCTCGGCTTCGTCTAACCACTCACTGCTGCCCAGCCATAAAAGGGACAACCTCAGGGGTGATGAGCTCCTCGTCCCTGGGGGCCAGAAAAACGCTGGAGAAGCAGCCTCCAGGGGCAAGGGAGGGCCCACGGGGCGGCCATGAACTCCCTGGGCAAACGGAGCTCGTCACTGCCCACTTCTGGCCTCAGCTGATCAATGGGAACAGGGTGGGCGTGGAGATTCAGAGGGGCCAATGGTGCAGGGGGACTCTAGACCCCATGGGTGGAGGCTCCTCTCTTACTCTGGGGTGTCTTAAGAGCACATACTGACTCGCTCAGCCCCTGAAGCCCAGGGTGCCAAGCACTAATATCATCCCCAAGTAAGAGGCGAGGACACAGAGGCCCCAATAGTGAGGTCATCCGTAGGCACCCGAGCCAGGCCATCTCTAGGGCAGTGGGCGCAGCCCCGGGCAGGAAGGGTGCGCTGGTTCTAGGCACCGGCAGCCAGACCAAGTGGTGCTGTGCAGGTTCCCAAGTCAGACCCGTGTGCGATGTGGCGGGTGGCGCACCCCCAGCCTCAGTGTCCTCGCCTGTGCAGTGGGGAGGCCCTAGCTGACCTGGGGCAAGGACATAGGTTTGGACGTCCTCATCATGGGCAAGAGATGAAGTTAGAAAGTGATGAGGTACACAGAGGCTCTTGGCACACAGTTGGTGCTCAATAAGTACAGCTCTTGCCATTATGTCTTTACCCTTTAAGAACTTATTAATTGCCATGTCATGTACCTTGCCCAAGGGACACCAGTCCTTGCTTCAGCACTAAGCGTCTGGCTGGGGTCGGCCTGGGGAGGGCAGCCTGGCAGAGCCCCACCTCCCGGCCAGCCTCCCTTTTCACCTGGAGGATGGCGGCTTCCAGGTGGCCCAGGCGGACGCGGAGCTCCAGCCTCCCCAGGAGATGGTTGGAGGCGGTGACCAGGATGTGAAGCTGCTCATCCACAAGGCCGTACAGGGCAGCAGCCTCCGCCAGGTGGCTCCTGGGAGGCAGAGGAAGGTAAGAGAAGCCCACTTGCCCTCCCACCCCATCCTGTGCTCCTGCCTGGCACAGGCCTGCCCCCAGCTCTGTGGCCCTCCTTGGGCTCCCAGCTGCTGGCCCACCGTGTGGCCATAGGCAGGTCCCTGCGTCTCTTTGGGCCTCAGCCTTGGAACCTAAGAGCTTCAGTGGGATCAGGAGGACTGGGGGACACAGCAGGAAATGAAAAGGCCCTCCTTCTTCCGGAGGAAGCCAGCTGAACAGACCTGGGTTCCAATCCCAGCCTTTTGATGGGACCTCGGGCAAACTTCTCCACCTTCCAGTGCCTCTGTTTTCCCATCTGTAAAGTGGGAATAGTAACAGAACCCACTTCACAGTGTGGCTGTGAGGACTCTATGGTAGAAAGCCTGGGTTCTCCATGCCAGCTACACCCCAGAGCCTGCCCCAGGAGCTTTGAGAAATCTCAAAGCCCACGTTGTACCCCAAGCCAATGAAGTTGGTTTCTGGGTGAAGCCAGAACATGGGGTGCTTTCTAAAGCTCCTCAGGAACTCTAGAGAGCCGCAGAGAGAACCACCCTCAGGCACATAAAGCTCGTGATAGGTGTTGGCACCCGTGATGTGCCCTGGCATGGGGCGCATGGGGTGCATGGGCAGCCCCGGCACCTTCACAGAGGGGAACACAGGGGTCCAGAGAGGGCAGGGACTCTCATGGCATCTGAACTGAAAACAGGCCAGGGCTGCTTCTGCAAGGACTTTTTAAACATGGCCGAAGACCTGAAAGGAGGGCGGGATGGGGTGCCGGGCATGGCGACCCTGGGTGTGGGAGGAATCTCAAATCCCAGCCGCTCCCCTCTGCCCTGGAGCATCTGTCCGTCTTTAGGAGGAAGGAGGAACACAGTAGAGAGCCTGCTTTGCAGGAGGGAGCTCTGCTTTGCGGGGCCCCACACCTGACTGCAGCCCCCCAGGTGGCCACCTTGCAGGCCGAGGGGTGACGGTGCTTAGGGGACTCTAAACGCCAACCCGGAGCCGCAGGAGGGAGGAGGCGCGGCTGCAGCGCCTCGCGCAGGGCCACAGCGCCCCCTGGTGGGGCTGCCCTCAGCCAGAGGTCTGCAGAGACCGAAGGTGGACAGGAGGGCCCAGCTGCAGAGGTGTGGCAGGGGCATGCTGGGAAAGACAGCGCCAGCCCCACTGGGCATTGCGAGGGGCAGGGAGGTGTCCCTACACCTGGCGCCAGGACCGACTGCTGCCAGCGCTCCCATCTGCCTAAACATGCCCTGAGTCCATGGAAGCCACTCAGTGCCATGAGATTCTGAGACCAGGCTGTGTTCAAGTCCTGGCCCCACCACCTCCCAGCTGTCTGACCTTGGGTTAGTTACTTAACCTCTCTGTGCCTCAGGCTCCTCGGCTGTCCCAAGGATGTTACTGGGCTCTACCTCAGCAGTGGGAATTAAATGAGTTCATGTTCGTAATCCCTTAATGCTACCGAGGTGCTGGTTCAATAAACAAATTGTTCCTAAAAGCTTATGCAAACTTTTCACTTGACTTCAGCATATAAGTAGTTGTGTCCTAATAGAGAAAAACCTTCCAATTACTGAGCAATGTAATTACAGTTTGAATGTCCCTTCGCCTGGGACCAAAGTGTTTCAGATTCTTTTGAAACTTTCTATAATGTTTGCCTATACATTATGAGCTACCCTGGAGGAGGGGACCTGGGTCTAAACACGAAATTCACACCTTCCATGTTGCCGGAAGGCAATTTTATAAAACATTTTAAATAGTTTTGCCCATGAAACAAAGTTTCGTAATGTGGAATTTTCCACTTGTGCTCAAAATGCTTCAGATTTTGGAGCATTTTGGATTTATTTCTGATGTTCAGATTAGGGAGGCCCCGTCTAAACTGGATGGACTTTTCCCCTCTCTGTAAACTGAAGAAAGCCGGTGCTTTCCTGGGGTGTCTGTCATTTATCCCAAGGCTCCCCCGAGACCCCTGACAGCCATGAGATTCTTGGGCCGTGTCGGGCAGCTGGCTGGGAGGGCAGGGCCCGTCCTGGCTTTGGGTCCCCAGGGGGCCATCTTTGGCTGCTAATTCACTTGGCTGAGCCTCGGTCACCATCCCCAGATGAGGCTGCTCTGGGCCTCACAGGGTTCTTGCCAGGAATAAATGAGATGGGCTTTGGAGGGGCTCAGCCCAATGTCTGGGCCAGAAAAGGGCTTGGTCCATGGGGGTGAGCAGAAACAGGGAGGCGAGGTCCCCCTGAGGGCCACGGAGGAAAGGGGGCCCGTGATTGGGCCTCCGGCCAAGCCAGACCCCTGGAAGGCCTGGTCCTGGGCTTCCATGGGCCCTGGCTCCTCTGAGTCCCAGGCTCGGGGAGGAGGAGGGCCTGGGCGTCTGTACCTGACGTCAGGGTTGGAGTCCAGTCTGCTGGCCTCACGCTGCAGCCGGGCCAGGGTGGCTCCACCTTCCCGCTGCAGACCCAGCAGGCCCGGGTCCTTCAGCACCGCCTCCATCAGCTCCTTGGACTTGCTCAGGCACCTGGCAGCGTCCTGCCAGCAGAGGGAGGGGTCCTGAGGCTCCATCCCCACTCCCCCTCCACAGCCCCCGACCCCAGATCAAGCCTCACTTCCTTAGTGTGGCATCTGGGCTCCTCCACAAAGACTCAGCCCCTCAAGCCACGCCCCTCTCATCACCAAGGCAACTCCCACCATCCTCCAAGCTCTGTCTCTCTTTGGGACACCCATTCCAGCCTCTGCTGGTCCCCCTACAGCCAGTTCCCCAGGGCAGTTACAAGGATGGGAAAGTGCAGATGGTCATCCCCTATCAAAACTCCTGGGTGACTCTCTGTCTGCTCAAGATGGAGTCCCAGCCCAGTGTGTGGGTCCAGCCTGTGCTGGACCTACAAGATCCTCCAGAGCTTCTCTTCTCCTTCCCTTCGACTCACTCAGCTCCACAGTGACTCCAGCTTCCTGCACGCCCCAAACAGCACCCTGCCCCAGGGACTTTGCACCCGTTGGTTCTCTGCCTGGAGCAAGGTCTCCCTCCAAAGCAGACTCCTTGAATTTCAGGCCTCAACTCAAATGCACCTCTCAGAGAGGCCCTCCCTCCTCCGTCTGTTCTCGGTCTTCATGGTAGTTTGGCACAATTGGCAACTACTGGTCTATTTCTTTGCTTATATTTGGAATGACCACCTCTGCCCCGTAGCATGAGCCCCACCAGGGCAGAGGGGAGTCTGCTGGCCCCAGGCTGAGGCCCCAGTGTGCGACACATCACGGGAGCCCAGCAAACACTCATAGAGTGAATGAACAAGACAGGGACCATGACGCCCTCCCTCTGTCCCCTTCACTGAGCCCGGGGTCCGTGAGTCTGGGGGTGGTGTGGCTCCGCTCCAGGCTCACCTGCACCCCCCCAGGGGGGTCCCCCTTCTCCAACGCCTCGATGGAAGCCCGTAGCAGCGCCGAGGCCTGGCGCAGGTCAGCAAGGAAAGGGTCCATCTTCTGCAGGACAGAGGCCAGGGCGGGCTGTCAGCCTGGGCCAGGCAGGAGGACACCCCCCGCCACCCAGGAGGACCCGGGGGCATTAGGCAGCAGTTCCCAAGCTTCAGATGCCTCAGAATCATCTGGAAGGATAGTGAAATGGACTTCTAGGACCCGCGCTGAGCTTCCTGCTGAGGTCCCCTCGGGCAGAGCAGGAGAGTGCCTTGTAGACAGTCCCCAGGCCACATTACTGCTGCTGGCCTGGGAGCTGGGGGGACACTTTGGGAACCACTGGTATTGGGAATGAGAGAGGGAGGAGAAAGGAGAAAAGAAAGAGACGCTCCCAGAGCCTTGTGAGGAGGGGGAGACAGGAAGTAAGAGGACAGGATCAGGGGGACATCCTTGGCTTGGTCCCACTTCAGCCCAGCTCTGCCACTCCTAGCTGTGAGACCTTGGGCAAGTTACTTAACCTCTCTGGGCCTTCTCTTCCTCCTCTGTTGAAATGAGGGCCACAGGAGTTCCTGCTTTGTAGGGTCGAGTGAGGATTGGATGGACTCACTTGGGAAGCCACTTAGAATAGAGCCTACTGGACATCCTCATCGATGTTGGATTCTGGGTCTCCGGGTCAGATTCATTTAAAGGAAAGGTCTGACTGCTGAAGTACAAATTCAAAAGCCCCCGGAGAAGGGAACTGGGAACCTGGGGATGAGTAGGGAAGGAGATTCCTCGGCACATATCACCTGAAATTGGAATGTACAGTCACCGTTGGGGATCTGTGGGGTGAGTCCAGGACCCCGTGGACAGCAAGCTCCACAGGTAGGAGTCCTTATGTAAGGTGGCATGGTGGTGGCACATAATCTGTGCACATTCTTCTGTGTGCTTAAATCACCCGACGTCACCTAGGATCTCTGCCACGCTGGAACCCTCTGTAAACAGCTGTTTCGCAGCGCGGTTTAGGGAGTAATGACAAGGAAACAGCCTGTGCGTGTTCACTGCAGGGACAATGTTTTCCCACAGTTTGTTCATTCCACAGCTGGCCAAGCCCAAGGTGGGGACTCCAGGGTGTGCGGGGCCACCCACTGCCCGCTCCAAACCAGACGTGATTTTGAAGAGGCTGCCTCCTGAACAAACAGAAACCGATGGGAGAGAGGGTGACCTGACCCCAGGGAGACTCGACAATGTCTGGGGACACTTTTAAGTGCCATTAATTCTAGGGAGAGGCCACACACACCGCAGGGCCACTAAACACACCAGAGTACACAGGCAGCTCCCAACAGAGAGGAACGGTGGCCCGGGTGGGAACAGGCTAAGGTGGAGCGGCACTAGGTGGGAGGGCCCTGGGCAGTGGCAGGGTTTGTGGGCAGTGGCTTCTCCATGTTCTGAGCGGAGGATCGGGGCTGTCCTGGGGAACCCCTCCCGGTGTGTCCTCAGGTGTTAAATTGGGCAGAAATGCCCCCTCACAGGGGTGTGCTGGGAGGGATCGTGGCTTGCAGGAAGGAGCCGAGCCCTGGCTGTTCCCTTATTTCCTACCCCATACAGGAGGGAGCTCCTCCGCCTCCCCCACAGACCTGCAGTTCCCTGAGTTGTGTAGGTCTGCAGAACAGACACCTGTCATTTGTTTTCAGCTAACACATAGCTCTCAGCATGTGACAGACACTCGCCTAAGCCCTTTACTCACATTAATCCAGTTCACACAAAAACCCCATGAAGAGGTACTATTGTTTCCCCTTGCATTTTTGCTGATGGAAACCAAAGCTCAGAGAAGGTGAGTAACCTACCCAAAGTCAAACAGCCAGAGCTGAATCGGAACTCAGGCAAGCTGGCCCTGCTGAGCCCTTACTCATTCTACTCTCCATCTTCAAGGTAAACATCCGTTTGAACCTGACAGGGTTGGTGGCTCCGTGGGGCAGGATTGTGAAGGAGAGAAGAGAAGGAGGGACAGGGCTAAAGGCTGTAATGGTAGACACCTGGAAGAATTGCACCCACTCGCTGTGACAGTAGGGGAGGGGGCCTTCCAGGGCAGCTGGCAGTTGACTGGGGTCCACGTGGTGGCTGAGGGCCTTCAATGAGGTCAGCACCTCCATCTGCAGACAGAAGAAGTGAGTCAGGAGGACCAGAGGGTTCACTGTGGGAACAGACTTTGAAAAGGTCCCACCTAGATCCCTGCCCCGGCACCAGTTCGTCTTCCAGAGGGAAAGTGCAGAGTTGCTCTCTGGGCACCCGATCTCTCTGGAAGCTCTGATCAATCACAATCCAGAACCAGACCCGGGTTAAGACAGCAGCTCCACAGCACTGGGACGGCCGGTCGCTGGCCTGTGCCTGAGGCAGACATCACTAATCAATCACAGCATTTGTTCCACCTGAGCTTGGCTCTTTCCCAGCTTTTGGGGGGCAATCACACAAACTGATTGCAGCAGGTCCTGTGATAAGCCTTCCCTAGAATCCTTGCATTGTTCTCTAGTGACCTGCCAAGGCTGATGAGAAAAGCCACCAAAGCCTAACAGTGTCCCCAAAGATCTGGGGAAGGGACAAGGTGACTGCTTCTCCCAGGCATTGAAGTTTCAGGCTTATCCTGGGGACAGCTCTAGATACCCAGGCTTGGGGTGGGGTGGAGTCTGCAGGGTTTGGGGCCCATCTTCCATCCCTGATCATCAAAGGGGGCTGTGGATCAGCAGCACCTTGGAGCACACTAGAGACGCAGGACCCCAGGCCCCACTCAGAGCCTAGGTTTTGACGAGATCCCTAAGAGATTTGTCCTGCCTGGGTCCCTGACCTGACACCAGGCCACTTCCCACCGGGTAGGCGGCTCCTCAGCGTAGGAGTTGTTGCTGAGAAACCAACCTCCACAATCCAGGCACACCCAGGGCTGAGGAGTACAGCCTCCAGCTCACACTGTGCCTCTACTGATCAGGAAGCAGGGGCCTTTTGAACCGTTTCTGAAGTGGGGCAGAGGCTGGGGTACAGTACTAATTAAAGGGAGCTCAGGGCTCTCCTGCCACGTTCCCAATCAACTCCAGCTGTATTAATTAGGGAAAGAAGCACAATCAGAGCCAGGCACAGTGGTGCACACCTGTGATCCCAGCGGCTCGGGAGGCTGAGGCAGGAGGATTGAGAGTTCAAAGCCAGCCTCAGCAACTTAGTGAGGCACTAAGCAACTCAGTGAGACCCTATTTCTAAATAAAATATTTAAAAGGGCTGAGGATGTGACTCAGTGGTTAAGTGCCCCTGGTACTTAACCCAGTACCAAAAAAACCCACAAGCAGAGCCGGGACAGCGTGGATGAGGCCCTGGGCCTCGGGTCAGGAGATGCTGCTCTGTCTGGTTTGCTGGGTGGCCGTCTGCCTGATCTCCCCATCTGGAGACAAGGGATGGCCTGACTAGGCGAAACTTCAGGTAGGTTCCATGTCACGTGCGACTCCCCGTCACGTGGCAGTGTCCACCAGGAGTTGCTGGGGTAGCCAGAGGGAATGATCCAGTGATGGTTGGGTGATGTCTGCCACAGAGGCAGCCTGGAGAGGGGCAGCCCCAGCCCTCGCCCTTCTTCCCCTACCCTAGATCATTTCAAGGCCTGACCTGTCCACTCTGCAATTCTCCATCTTCTCTACCCCCACTCAGCTCCAGCCCAACAACCCCCTCCTCAACTGCCCGAGCGGCTTCCTGCTCACCTGGACGTCAGGTAAGGCCTGCAGCTGGAGAGCATCCTCCTTCTCCCCCAGGAAGAGCAGGCTGCGGAATGGGGCCGGGGCCAGAGCCTGTCAATGAGAACTGCTTCAGGCTGCTCTGCCCGAGCCTCCCCTCAGCCTCCCATCCCTCTATGGCCTCTCCCGCCCTGGAAAGACACAGGCAAATGCGTCCCATAGTGGCCAGGGTGGGAGTGACTGCGTGCTGTCTGGAGGGAGGAAGCACTCCAAGTGCAGAGAGCAGCAGGCCCAGGCTGCGCTGCAGGCTTCCTGGATGCCCTGCCCCACCCGCCTCAGTCTGCCCGTCTATGAAGGAGGGCTCAGACCTGAGCATGTGGCAAACCTCCACCGCCCCTGCTGCCCGGGGTCAGCTGGGACTCTCCTCCCTCCTGCCCGCTCTGGGATGAGGTTTTGGTACCCGAGGCTAAGGCAGTCGCAGCGGTGCCCTTCCCTGGCCCTGGGATTCTGTAATGGCTGGACGTCTGAACCAGAGAGACACAAGAAACTTGCTGGACTCTGGGGAAATAATCTCTCACTCTTTTCTGCTGGATGTAAGTGAGAGACCATGGGAACTTAGAGCTGCAGGGACCCTATGGCCGCCCGAGGGGGGTTGTCAGAGATGGCACCCTCCCAGGAGGACAGGGCCAGAGATGGGGAGAAGGGATGGTCTGGTGACAGTGTCGGAGCCCTTGTATGGAGACCTACCGAGCTGGATTGGACTCCTGGCTTGTCCAGCTACATGAACCAATGAAGTCCTTTTGACTTAAAGCTCATTAGCCCTGAGCTGTTAGCAGTCCCTGGTTCCAACCCTGAGCCTGCCGCATGCTCCAAGCATGTCAGAGGCCCCAGGTGACCCCAAGGCTGGCAGGGCTGGGGCACTCTGTCTGTATTCACCTGGGTGGCCTGCAGGGCGCTGACCAGATCAGGCTGTGGGGGCTGATTCCTGGCATCGACCACGACCACCAGCCCCTTGGCTTTATCTTCGGGCCTGTGGTTGGAAAACAGTATGACGTCTCGCTGGGCAGCCCTGGGGACTCTCCAGGTGGCAAGACCCAATGGAAGGCCGCAGAAACTGGCTGCTGGGAGTCTTGACTCAGTGGTGAATGGCCTACCCTGCAGGGCCAAGCCCCAGGTCTCCCTGCTGGAAGCCCCCCCTTTCTCTTCCAGGAGAGGCCACTGCCTCTACCGCAGGCCCCCGCACTGGCCCATGCATCCTCTCCCAAGGCCCAATAGTCCTAAAGATAGTCACTTATAAAGTTGGAGTGGGTCACCTGAGGTGAAACCTCATTTAATTCAAGAATCCCACACCCCCAGGGGTTGGCTTCTGGTTGGTGGAGGCCACTGAGTGACCCGATTTCTCTGGGCAGTGACTGGTCTAGATGGAGATCATGTGACATATCTCTGCCCAATGAGATGAGAGGGCAAATTCCCTGGGGCCTTTGGAGAAAGACATTCTCTCCTTTGAACAGTTCTTACAAAGAGCTGTGAGGCGGAGACTCAGACTGATACCTTTGCTCATCAGACCAGACGTTTTAAATTGCAGTCGGTTCCCCATGGCCAACACAGCCCTGGGCTGAGCTGACGGGGGCTACGCTCCGTCGTTTACACCAGGACTTCCCAGACTGGCCCGAGTGTCTGCATTTGTTAAAATAAGGATTCCTCATCCCACCTCCTCCCCTGTCCCCCGAGACAGTTGGCAGCAGGTACAGGGTGGGTCTGGGTGATTGCAAGTGCCCTTGGTCACTCCGATGATCAGGAAGGTGATCATAACCCAACTGCCTCAACTCTTCCAATCATCCAACTCACAGACAAAACCAGAGGTGGCCCCGTGTGGGTGCTGAGCTGTGGCATTGCCTTTAGTATCTGGTGACCTAGACGCGTTCTTGTACCTCTCTGAGTCAATTGAATAATAATGGTACCAGCTTGAGGGGGCCTCGTGGGGACAGATGAGGTCATTGATGTCATGCACCCAGCGACTGTGCACCACAGGAGAGATGTAATTTTTTTTTTTTTTTACAAAACTTTGCCATTGTTACTGTCCTAAAAGGGGAAACCGAGGCACAGGAGGCAAAGCAGTGGCCAGCAGGGAGAGTCTCTGGGAGGTGACACCAGGTCCCTGACCTCCCGTCCCACACCTTGCCCGTCTCTGGCTAGGCCCCTGCCGGAACAGTGACTCATTCCAGACCTGTCTCTGCCCGGAGCCTGGAGGCCCCTCGAGGACAGGGCCTGTTGGGAGACTCCTCAGGTCCCCAGCACCATCCAGCATAAAGCCGGGCCCTGAGCAGGTGTCTCACCAATGTTTGTTCAGAGCACAAATGGAAAGGCCACCTGTGCAAGGGACCAAGAAGTCCCCAAGGCACAATTCCCTCCCCTGACACTGGGACCCCCCCCCCCCCTTGGTCCTCAGAACCCACTGGCCATCTCCTTCTGTCAGGAGAGCCTCAGAGAGGAGAAGGTACTTCCCCAAGGTCACACAGCAAATCAGTGGGACACCAGGCCAGAGGAAGAAAAACCTCAGTGGCCAGCAGGTGGCAGTACTGACTCCCTGCATGAAAGAAGGTCCCCAAGGGTGCCCTGGGTCCCTCACCCTACCCCCCCCCCCCCCCCCGCAGTGAACCTTCAGGTGGGGTGGGGGGTCTGTGCACAGTCCCAAGGCTCCACTCTAAGGCTGCCCTGGCTGGGGGCTGGTCTCAGAGGGAAGGACATGGCTCTTCCCCGCCAGGCGGACATGGAGTCTGAGGACAGGGGGGTGGGGGGTAGCAGTGAGAGGAAGGGAGTTGGAGACCAGCCTGGACCCCCATCTCACTCACATTCATGCTTTAATTCTCTCCCTCCTCCCTCCCTCCCTCACCCACCCCTTCACATTTCCATCAGATATTTATCTTTCAGATGCCAGTTCAATTATCACCTCCTCAGGGAAACCTTTTCTGATTTGCTAATTGAAGGTAGCTCTCCGCGCCCCTCCCCCACACTATAACAGTGGTTCTCAAAGTGTGGTCCCTGGTGTGACCAGGTGACCGATCACAAATGCAGCTCCCCAGGCCCCCCACCCCAGACCCACTGAATTGGAAACGGGAGGTGGGGCCCAGCAATCTGTTTTCACAGCCCACCAGGGGAGTCTGAGGCGAGGGGTTCTCAAGTTCAAACACCAGGGACCGTCAACGTCCCTCTGTTTCTACATCATGTTCTGGAAAGTCACCTGTCCATCCCTCCCCCCCTCCACCTTGGGAGTCTCCCCGTGGCGGGGTTGAGAGGGTGGAGGTGGAGCCCTTACCTGGGGATGCCGCACAGGTAGGAGAGCAGCTTGGTGACCTCGGAGCCCGAGCACCACGGTGCCTCCCAGGCTGCCTCTGCGGTCGACACCAGAAGCAGGGGCCGCCCCTTCCTGTCTCGACTGCCTGGAGGACAGAGGACACCCTTGAGCAGAGCCCTTGCCTGTGGGACCCCCTCTGTGGCCTCCATGCCGGTCCCCCTGCCTGGAATGCCCTTTCTCTCCTCCTTCTGTGAGCTGTGAACCCCTCACCCATCAAAGACCCAGCCTAAAAGTCACTTCCTGAGAGCAGCCTTCTCTGAACCCCTCTCCACAGAGGAGGTGGCTGACTCCCCTGGGACCATCCTGCGGACAGGGGACCCTGGGAGGCAAAGCCTGTGGGGTGAGCTCTGGAGTCACAGGGACAGGGGCTCCCGTCCTGGCTCGGCATGGACTCTGCGTGTCCTGGGGCAAGTTCCTGCATCTCTCAGCCTCGGTTTCATCTGTTCCACGAGACAAATGAAACACCAAGCTGATGAGGTTATTTTGAGGATCAAGTGAGACAGTTCCTGAGAGACTGTCGCACCAGGGATCCCCGAGAGGCAGCTGTGCTGTGAGCAGCGTCTCTGTCCCCTTCTCCAGCCAGGCTGTCAGCCTTGGGACCTTGGCAGGCTGTGTCCTGCCCGGGGATCTGGGCTGGGTGCCTCACTCTTCCTGTGGGGGTCATGAGGCCAATGAGGACACAGGGGGAGGGCACAGTGAAGAAAGAAATATCTGTTCAGTCACCATGTCCATGTGGCGCTGTGTCCTGTCAGTCCCAGCAAATTGATGCATGATGTCTCCCCTTGTGGCCTCTGGCCCAGACTGGCTCCTCTGTCCCTGTTCCCTGCCCTCTATATAAGCGTGTCCCCCACCCTGGGTTCTCACAGCAAACACAGGCTTCTGTCACATCCTGCGAGACTGAGCCGTGCAGGGAGTACCCTGGGTCAAGCTCTCTGCTGCTTCCCGGTGCTCAGCACGACGCGGGCTCACACCCTCCAAGCCTGGGACCAGTGAAGGCAGGGTTAGCATAGTGCTTTCCAAATCCCGCGTGCCTGGGGCTCTTGCCAGAACTCAGACCGTCACTCAGCAGGCCTGACTCTGCCTCTCCTCCAAGCTCCAAGGTGAGGCCCAGGTTGTTGGTCCCTGGGCCACACTTTGAGTAGCGAAGGGTCCGAGCACCCAGGATGTTCTGTCATGGAACACTGTGATTGAGACTAATTCATGTGACTTGTTTCCCATTAAACTCTGCCTGAAACAGGGCTCTGCACACAGCCAGTGCTGCCTGAGTTGAATAGAATGACAAGCAGCTGTCCCGGTGATTTGCTTTTGACTGGGCCAAGGAGACCTCTTTGCCCCAAATGTTGCCCTGGCCTGACAACTGGTGCCGGAAATGCCATCACGGTCACCTCAGAACCCTAGATTGAAGTTGTGATATCCACCCTGGGTTCTGCATTTCAGATGGAAATGGGAAGGGCAGGTTGGGACAGGGGTGGGCAGGGGGCTACCCACAGCCACCGGAAAACCTGTTGTACCTTTTGGCAGCGTTCTGTGCCGAGGGTGGGGGAGAGATGGCAGATAATGGAATGAGCAAGCAACTTAGAGCCTTCACACGGGAAACAAGGGTAAATGGATTCTTAAACAGAGCACCACGGGGCTGAAATGATGAAGACCAAAGGTCCAAGGCAGGTCTAGAGCACTGAGGTCTCAGGGCGAGGCCAAGATCAGGGACCCCTTCACTCTCTTTGGCATTAGGAACGAGAAGTCACCGGTGACCTGGACGAAACCTGCCTCGGCGTCGAGGTGGGGAAGGAATCCTGCGTAGAGTGAGTGGAGAGGAGAGAGGGTGCAGAGACAGGGAGCACGGCCACTCCTGGGTGGAGTTCCCATGTGAGAGAAAGAGGGGACAGTGACGATGTTGGGGCCTGAGGGGGTCCTGGTAACCGGGCAGGGCTCCGGGTGTCCTGGTGCTGGTGGCAACGGACGCGGGAGGGGGACCAGGTGAGGTGGTGGAAGGGTGTCTCAAGTAGGGAAAGAGGAGCAGTGCCCCGGGGGGTTGGCCTCAGATAGGAACACAGAGGACAGTCCCCAGAGGTTTGCTGCGTCTGTGGCCTGGATGTGGTGGGCAGGTGACTACGGTAGCTCAGTGAGACCCGAAGGAAGGTCACCAGCTGAAACTGCAGTTGGGTATGGGGGCGGGCACTGACGGTCAGAGGAGAGAAGTCACTGGCTCAGGACGGTGAAAGGTCACTCAGGACCCAGGGTGGAGGAGGGTCCATGTGACCCACCAGGTGGTGTGACTTTCCCAGCTTTGTCCAGGGGCAGGGGTAGCAGGTGGAGAGTTTCCGGGGCTTCTCCAGGTAAGGGTGAAGGGGACAGAGAAAGGCAAGGGAGTCGAGAGCCATCGAGAGGAAGCGATTATAAGGATGAGCAGGGCGTCTAAGCCGCAAAGGAGCAACCGAGGACATGTTGGCCACTGGGGGGACACAGTGAGAAGGCGGCTGGGAGGATGGGTTGAAGTTTGGGGAGCAGGAGGATCCAAAGATAATTAAGATTGGGGCCGTGGGTGAGACAGTAGAGTAGGAATCTCAACATTGAAAGCAGGGAGGGAGCAGCTAGTGATGGGGGATGGCCATGGGAGTTGTCACTGGGGGACAAGGACAGGATCCCTGGAGAAGAGAAGGCCAAGGGCAGTCAAAGGCGGGAGCAGAGGAAGCATCCACATGGGTGCTGTTCACTCATCATGTCCCTTCTGAGCACATACTGTGTGCCAGGCACTTGGGACCCAGCTGCGTGTGCTGCAGTCCCCAAGAATTACAACACAGGTAATGTAGCAAAAGTGACAAGGAGCCAGGTTCTTTCTGAGGCCCAGAGAAGGCAAGCTACTTCTCCAAGGTTACCCAAGGAGCTGACCATAGAGTTGGAACTGAAACCAAGTTCTCCTAACCCTAACCCTAACCCTCCATGAACAAAAGCCGAGCTCTTGGAACATGGCAGCCCCAGAGAATGGTGAGATCCCTGTGGGCAGTTCACATGGGAACAAGCGACAAAAGTTCCAATCAGAGTGACCAGAAGGACAGACAGTGCCCACCAGGAGCTGTGAACCAACAGGTGGTGCCCAGGATCCTGCAGAGATGTAGAAATCTCTGAAGGAAAATAGAATTGCAGGAGAGTCAGTTCCCCAAAAGCACTGAGGTCTCTGGTGTCCCTAGACCTTGGCACATGCTGTTCCCTCTGTTTGGAACGCTGTTCCAACACTTCACCTGCTCACTGCCCACTCACACTGTACAATTGCATTTTATATCACTTAACTTGTCCCAGCAGAAGCCTGAGCCAGGGCCCCATCTGTGCTCCACAGGGGCTGGACTCCTCATGGTTCTAATTCTCTTATGTCAGGTTTTAATAAGCTGTTGAATTTTCTCTACCACTAGAATATAAGTTTCCTGAGGACAGACAGCACATCAGACTTGTTCCCTAATAAATCCCCAGTGCTACGCCCAGAGACTCAGTTAATATTTACTGCACAAATATTAAACAGAAATAATAATACTTTCAGTATTGGATATTGATAATGCCTCACCCAAAACCCTTTGGTAGGCAGAGGACTCATTCCCCAGAGGCTGGAAGTATTGGCAATTAATGGCTTATAGGTGCCTCCTTCTCAAGAATTGCCCTTGGCTGAACGAGATCACTGGCTTACCCTGCATCTATACCCAGGATCAGCGTGCAGTTAATGACTGACAGATCCAGGATCAGCCTGCAGTTATTGACTTCAGATCCAGGATCAGCCTGCAGTTAATGACTA